TGTTTCCTATAATGTCTTCAACATGTGTTTAAGCATTCGACCTGAAAATTGTTTGGTTTCCTGAATTTTAATTTAGAATAGCTCTGAGTTATCACCAAATTTGTATAAAGTGCTAATTGTTTAGCACATGGTGGAAACTAACACTGATGACCGTTTATTCCCTAGTGCATCATTAACCAAGTAGTAAGTGCTTCACCACATGATTATAATATGCATTTCTGCAATTTTCCGTTGATGTATTTATAAATTATTAAAAAAACAAAAATTTTGGTTTTGATTGTTCCTAATGAAGGTTAGTTCGGAAAAACTCTCCTAACAAATCAAATTTATAATGATCAGTTTATTAACCACTGTTTGAAATACAAATCATGATAAATTTACATTGTCCGGAACATGATTTTATTATTTGGTTTTCTATTCACCAATTTGGCATGTAATAATATATAAAAAAAACGCATTATGATTTCTTTGTGATGGACATTATTTGGGATTACTGGCAGATACATTTTTGCATTTTTGGAATCTATATATAGCCAATAAATTGTCTTCCAGGAGAATTTGTCTCACTAAATATTCTCCATTTACACGTAGTAAAACAATACGAGTAAAAGCAAATTGATGACTGCTCTTCTGTTTAAATAGAGGAAACATAACATTAGTATTCCTATGTTATGGTTTAAAATTTGAGTTATAGCCCTTTGGTTGATCGTCTCTAAAGATTTTGGTTCATAACATTTATTGAAATTTAGATGGGATTTTTATTATTCTGTATTTGACTGTTTACTCACTATATGATCTACCTTTTCCGATTAGTTTCTCATTACTGAAAAAGTATATGTACTGATATCTTCGATTTCTTTTAATTGTTATGTAAATGTAATACTATTTTGCTCTTTCGAACATACGTCGATTTAAGTAAAATGACGACAACTGCCTTATATTGTCTCTTCACATGTATAAATGTAGAAATGTGTGTTTAAACTATCGCGTAATTTGTCTGACGGTAGTTGATTATTCGGGATAACGTAAACAAGGAATACAACAACAAGACACAAAGTTGTGTTTTCCTTTTTCACTCATTTTTTTTTAAGAATTATTACATTGACACTCTAGCTTGTGTCTCTGCTTGACACATATGAATATGATCAATTTTGATTAATGTGTGAACAACTCAAACAGGTTGCACAGAATGTTTCTTAGTTAAAGGACAATTATCGTTATGCGGACAATATATTATATGAAGCAGGTATCCACTATCGAAATTGTTTTTGTTAAGAACCAAAAACCAAAAAAAACAAAAACCATGTTAACATGAAAATTCCAAAATCGAAGTCATCAGGGTTGGTGCACAATGTGATTTAAAGCATGACAAACTATCATCTTCAAAGACCATGCCATACTTCCCTCCAGATTTTTATTTGTCAAACATTCTATTGAAATGGTAGCTAAATTACTAATCGTGATTATACAGATAAAAATGTAAGATGCCAAGTGGCAATTAGAAATCATACCAGGATCCCATAGGCAATACCGTGTTCCCAGAGACAATAGCACGACCAATAGCTAAAACAAAAAGAGACAAACAACAGTCCTTGAAACACAACACAGAATGACAAAGAGGGAATTTACTACTAACATTTTCAACCCAGATTATTAAACTTCACATACATACTGAAGATGTGTAGTTTCATTTATTTAATAGTTTAAGGAAGTTTCAATGCATTCTTTACTTTTTTTCAGGCAAAATTTCAAGCGGAATGTACGTTTTGCAAAATAAACCTAAAACAGGTTTTTTTTACCAATTACCTTGAATATTTGCACACATATTGAATATTGTGGAGGAAAAAAAAACACGATTCAGGATAATAATTTCCTCAATGAACAAAACATCTCTAAAAGACAACAACAACGGGACTCTCTTTCAATTCCTTAAAAATTCTAAAGTTATTTTTCTTATATTTCTTTAGATGAACTCAAGGTTTTGAAAACTATATAAAAATTCATCAAAGATATCAAGCTCATAATTTTGTACGCCAGATGCGCGTTTCGTCTTCATAAGACTCATCAGTGTTTCTCGAATCAAAACAGTTGGAAGGCCAAATAAAAAACCCAAATACTGGTATAGCAATCTATTCCTCGGGGTAGAAAAACCTGAGTGTTTTCAATAATTCAAACATTTTATAAACGGTATAGTTACAAAGAATGAACATACCAATGATATTTCATGTCAATACACAAGTGCTATATTGTTGAAGGCCGTATGATGACCTATATTTGATAACCTCTGCGTCATTTGGTCTCTGGTTGAGGGTTGCATCATTGGCAATATACAACATTTTCTTATTCTATATTGGGCTGGTGATACCCTCGGGGCTGAAACGTCCACCAGAATCTGTTATCGACCTAGTAGTTGTTTTAAAAAACTTATTAAAGATACTAGGCTTATAATTTGGTAAAACCAAAAATTCCCAAAATTGTACCAAATACGGCTAAGGCAATCTATTCCTTGGGATAAATGAACATTAATATTTTGAATAATTCAACATTTTATAAAGTGGTATTCAAGACTATGGTATGACCTTGCTATTTAACACTGTTTTATGATCAGCAAATATATACAACAACAGGAAGAAGCAAAACGTATTTTGTATTGTTGGTTCTAAAAAACATTTGCAAAAAATCAACGTACGACGTTATGAAATGTGCCACAAAATGTATAAAATACTAAGCGTAATATGTTATTTTCATTCCGAGTCTCCAAGACCGTCCTGGTTTACAGAGCGATAATCTTCATTATATAGTACATTCACTTTCATTATTGGTTATAGTCGTTTGTTTACAGAGTGAGTGACAAATGTTCGTTCATTTCATTAGTGGCTATATTGCTCTGTTTATTATCCACTGTCAATCAAAGGTTATAAATACAGAAAATCATGGAGAACCATAGTTCCACAGAAATACAAATGAGAGTTGGGTATATGAAATGTGTCAAAGACTGCAATAGCTGGGTTGAAATACTTATGGTGTAAGTGATTTGAAGACATAAAAGGGTACTAACACTTGTATTTGGGGACCATGTTTTAAAATTGAAGCATGGAAAAGATGATATCTACTGATTACTACAAAACGAAAACTATAGTTTCAAGGGAGATATTTGTTAAACAGACACACATTCTATAACGTTTTTGATAAAATGAGGCTCACACCTTCCATGATTATACAAACTTTCTAAAAAGTTTGACAGCTCTGGGACTGTATAAGCTTATTACACAGAATGGGTATTCTCCATATATAAAGCTGCTAAAAAATTGACCTCGTTCCACTCTTTTGAACATCCTTGTTTAAAATATTAATCTGTCATGGGTCAGTAAAGCTTGGGATATTGATTTCAATTTTCTGTGTGGAATGGACTTGTATAAAAAAAATACCACATTACTTATAAAGGATAAAGCTTGAAAATATGGTATTAATGGTATTAATTACTAATGTTCATATTAATATCTTGCATTAAAAATTTCAATAAATGATATTATTCAATCAAAGAATAAAGTTTTAACATTCTTTATTTACTGCAAATATAGTTGAAACACCGACCTTCAATTCAATTTGGTAGCCATGATGAGTTTGTCTTATTTCAAATGTGAAGTAAAATAATAAAATATAAAATAGATGTATAAAGCACAGTTTTAGTGATATCTTGTAGTTCATTTTGAATGTTAGATATTTAAATGCGATTGGAAAAAAATTATACCAGGCTTATAATTTTGTACCAGTGACACTCGAATCAAAAAAGTTTAAAGGCCAAATTAAGAAAGAAGTTGAAGAACATTGAGGACACGAAATTCCGAAAGGTTCTGCCAAATACAACTAAGGTAATCTATTCCTGTTGTAGACATTACAAGTATTTCGAACAATAGTTTATTTATAAATGACCTTATCAATGATAATTCGTGTCAACACAGAAGTGCTGACTACTGGGCGGGTGATACGCTCGGGAAGGAAACCTCCACCAGCAGTGGCATCGACCCAGTGGTTGGAAACAACTCATCAAAGATACACGGCTTATAATTTTTTACGCCAGACGCGCGTTTCGTCTACTAAAAACTCATCAGTGACGCTTGAATAAGAAAAATTAAAACGCCAAATAAAGTTCGAAGTTGAAGAGTATTGAGTACTCACAATTATGAACGGTTTTGCCTAAAACAGCTACGGTAATCTATTCCTGTGGCAGAAAATCCCAATTATTAGGGAACAATTCATAGTTTTGTAAAGTTTATTTATAAATTTGACCATATCAATGATAATTCATTTCAACACAGAAATACTGACTTATGGGCTGGTGATATCCTCGGAGATGAAAATTCCAAAAGAAGTGACATCGAACCAGTAGTTGTATGTTTCCTTTGGAAAGTTCAATATTGATCCAGTACCAACTACAACTGGAGTAATCTTAGATCGGTACTTTGTGTCTTTCGTCTTTCTGTTAGTTTTTGTGCTTCCTGCCGATCTCATAATCATGCTTTTTTTTTACTTTCAGTACGGTTTGTTCTCATATTGTTACACCATTGCCCAGGTTATTGGAGGGTTGATTGGTCACAAACATGTTCAAGTCCGACACATGTACCTGTCCCAAGTCATGGGCCCTTTTTAGTTAGTGTCTGTCAATTTTGGTTTTCATTTATTGTTCAAGCATGGTCCAGGAAGATGTTTTTTTCTCGTTTGAATTGTTTCAATCTTTTTAAAGCCGATGCCTTTTAAAGCTGCCTACACGGTATGAGTTTTGATCAATGCTGAAAGCCGTACTTTGATCTGTAGTTTCGTACATTCACGTCATTTGGTCTCTGTTAGACAGTTGACTTATTGGCAATCATACCACATCTCCTTATTTACACATTTACTACTACTTCGCAGTTTCGTGTTGACAATAACATAATATAACTGACGTATAAAGTCTAAACTAAACCATGCTATCTGTCTCCTAGCACAAAATAACGACCAACTACATAATGAACACGATTTATTTCATACAAAAATATTTGAAATATACATGTAATCCAGTCATACATTCATTCTCACAGTTGCGACTTTTAAAGTCGATATCATTTATACATATTTATACATATTTCAAACAGGTCCAGTTGAAGCATACAATGAATGGCCCGGCGCCTTCATAATGATTTACAAAATACATGTATATAAATGATCATTCTTTTTAAGATAAAGTTATAAATATGATACATTTGTATGCAAGGAAAGTAAATGTACTGAATATATGTATGGCAAATCAATATAATTTAGTTTTTGTCACAGACTTTCAACATCTTTGTATCATAAAATATATATTCAACTACATGTGGTAAGAAATGACTTTTACTGATAACATTATTTTAAAGTACAAACTCCTTCTTACTGAAATAAATTAAGACAAGATTTGGACTGCTTACTGCAATTTTGGACAGCAGAAACTTCTATCTATCAGACAGATGCAATAGAAAACTAAAATTGACATTCAAATTAACAAGTCGAAGATAAACTGACAATGCCATAAAGATATATAAATATTGAACATTTTTCTTCTGAAATTTTGGTACAAAGAGTGTAAAATAGATCAGCTATTAAATTAATAATGCAGTTTTTTTCCAAAATATAAAACATATCAATAAATTTCTGAATAAATGAGCAAATAGTTCTTTTAACAGTTTAAAAAAAGATCCAGTTTTTCGCTGTATGAGATATAAAATCGAACAACTTTATGTACCTGTTCTTTAAAAACAGCTCGTTACAAGAACTAAACATGAGAGTACAAAAGTGACATCTTAAATTTATGATATTACTGATAGAGTTGAGGTGATATAACAATCAACATTAAAACAAATGATTTTTTTTTGTGCTATTAATTCTGCAATATCACTTTATCTATTTCAATAGTTTGCAGAATAATATATAAATAGAATAAATTTGCTAAAAAAAACGATTGCATAACTTGCATTCTTGGGAAATATTAAATTGAAAAACATTCTTATAACTTAAGATTTATAAATCAAACAATCTTTATCTCCCTAACAGTTTAAAATTATCCATTGACTTGTTATCAATGCAAATCTAGGGTATATCAAATGAGACAACATGTCTTAGCACTATCACTGGACGGACACTAAATAAACTTAGTTACTAATTATAACGCTGTTGAAATGTAAAAACAAACAAGTAAAGGATTAAATATTATATTGACACATATAATGAACTTTAATATTTATTCTTTCATACAAGTTCATAAGAAAATGTTAATTGCACATCTGAGCATGCTTGTTGGACAATGGATTACACACATATCTATACATATAACATACTACTGTATGTATTTTGTTTAAAAAAAACAATGTATCTTATATTTCCCATCTTTCATTCGTATAAAGCACTTTAACAAAAATATTTACAATCACAATATATATGCATGTATAGTCCAAGAAAAGTAAAAGTCTTATATCTCAAACAGAAATAGGCTTTATCTACTTGACAATGGTCTTATTGTTCTTCTAAAAATATGTATTTATCTTTAATACCTTAACTGTTAATTCACAATACAAAAATCAAAATAAGACATCATCTTTAAAAAACAACTTTTAAACATATCAATCATGTGGTTAAAAGATTTGAAGGGAAAATTCCTGGTCCGGAAAACAATGAATGTCTGACATGAATAATAGGAAAGTTGTAGTTTCTAATGATATTAAATATAAATATTTCACATTCTCACAATATAGCTAATGTATGTTTACTTCAAATATTGCAATTTATTCATGATACCGTTGAAAAAAATGGCCATAAGGAAAAAATCCTAAAAAAAATAATGTTTGATATTAAAATTAATTATTCTTATTCTGAAAACCTGTATACTTCTCTTGGGGATATTATTGGAATGTATTTTTAGGAAACGAGTTGTCATTTTAAATGACATTCTATACTAAACAAAACAAATACCAATATCAAGCAAAACGTATTTCTTGGGAAACCCAAGCTCTGTAAGTACATTTAAAAAATGTACTCTGTCTGAAATACAAATATCTGCAGTTTTCAAACTGATCATTAACTATCTAACTTTGCCTACATTTTAGCACTGATTTTTTTTTCATGAGTATAAACCTTACAAACTGCCTATTATGCAGTTTCCTTAACCTCCTATGACATCTAGGCATATATTTTAATCCTTAACCTCCTATGACATCTAGGCATATATTTTAATGATCTCATTTTTAGGGGGAAATAATTGATGTCATCAAATTCTATTTGTCCACTTTACTGAACACATCTTAAATGCAAAAATTGGAACGGATTTATCCTTTTATAAAATTTCCCCCTTTCAAAGAAAGTCCCCTACTCGGAAAAATCCGAATGTATTAATTTTATGGTTTGTGGCAATTATTGTCAAATTTGACACTTTCACAAAAAGTTCATCTCCTCTTCTTAATTTGAACAAAGCACCTAAATAGCTGGAATATTCACCGAACTGTTTATTTTCATCCCAACATTTGGTTAACGAGTTCATCAGCAGTAGTTCTTCGCCGCCGTTACGATATATAATATTATATCTATAAAGATAATGAGAAAGGCTATTTGAGTTTGATCTAGCATCAAGGGAACTACTGTGTCCAAAATTTTCTGCAAACGATACATGAGAGTAGACATAATATAATCCATCCTCAGGAACTACTAGTCGGCCATTGCGATAGTCTACAGCATTAGTAAACGCCAAGTCTTCTCTGTAGATCCACTTTGGAATACTAAACTGATTTCCAGGCACTGTAAAAATTAAGAGAAATATATTTGTCAATTTCATACAAAAATATATATAGAGAATATAAGATTACTAAAAAAATGCTTGTAAAAGCATTGATTCGTGTAATTTAATAACACACAAATGACCATTTTAGCTGTATTTAAACATTTGATTTGACCACATATATCATTTTAAATAGAATTAGGACTCATCAGCCTAGTGCCTCTCTTATATAATGCCTTCCCCTGAAAGTTCACGAGAAAGCTAGCAAAAGTATATTAATTATAATTATTATTTCTTTTTAAAATGTAAAAAAAAAAAAAATGTAACACTTTTTTTGGAAGACATTACAGCAAATTTATCAAATTTTAATCAATTGGCCTTTTTGATAAGAAAAAACGATAAAAATAACGAATCCATTAATATCAGACAAAATAACGGCTATTTCTTCCTTGGTACATTGGGAAGGAGATCCTAGACAGACGTATGGGTTTTTCTCATTGTTGAAGGCCGTACGGTTGCCTATAACTGCTTACATCCACTTCATTTGAACTTTGGTGGATATTTCTCTCATTGGCAATCATACCACATTGTTTTTATATTAATTTCTATTGAAATAAGTGAGATTTCATTTGTTTATTGTAATGTTTGTCCTGTTTATGAACATCTTCTAATGTGCCTTTAACAGTTTGTATTTCATGTGTATGTAATGCTATGACCAAAACGTCTTTTATCTGTATTAACTATTTAGTTAATAATACAACTTTATTCAAGGATTTGTAAATAGAAGTTTATATAAAGGTGCTCGAATACGCTTGCTAATGTTCAACTTAAACTGTTTGTATTTCATTTGTATGCTATGACCATACAACCTCCATGTTATGACCATACAATCTCCATGCTATGACCATACAACCTCCATGCAATGACCAAATGGTCTTTTGTCTGCATTAATTAAGTTATAAATACAAGTATAAACAATGGTTTGTAAATACTTGTTTCGATACAAGCGCTTCCATTACACTTGCTAAGGTTCAACTTTAACTCTGCTCTTCAAGACGAAGTGATCGTTGAAATATTAAATGCTCGTCATATAAACAGCTATTACTTACCTCCGGGTTGTTCATTTCTACGATTATATCCCATCAGATGTGCAGCATAAGTAACATTTTTCGAGTGAGTTGACTGATGAGCTGGCCGAATTGTACCTGGAAAGTAAAGAAAAATGTATAGTATAGTATTCACATGGCTACCTTAATGTAAAAGTAATTGTCTTAATAAATTTTACAGATGATGATTTTGATACTTTTCTATAATGAAACATTTTAATTGAAAGAAAGCGGATTCCGATGTAAGAACAGGTGTTAAACTTTCAATCAAGAGAGTATTAAAGAACACACGTAAGAGCAAGGCAAAACGGATGCCTTGGTTTATAATAGACTCCTCCAACTAATATTCAGAACTACTCATTGTTTGAAGAGTATACATCATTTGTATCCAATAAAATTCAGTCTAATATATACACGCAACATAAGGGAAAAGGGAAAATAAAGATGTGGATAAAATAAGCGATTTAAACAGTTTAGCAAGCGCAGTAATTAAAATGTATATCAATAAACCTCTTAATACAATCCGAAAGAATAGGCACACTGATTAACATATACAGTATTGGCATATTTTTAATATCCATGTCATATAAGAAAGTCGTAGAAAAAGCTCAGAAATTAGTAAATAAACATAGTATCACACATGAACATCGCCAACACACGGAAACAGTATAATTCAGCCTACACACTACCATTGCAACAAGAATGACATTTAAATAATGAATTATAAAAGCAAACAAAAAAATACTTTCTATTAAAGTCCGGACAATTTTAAAACACTATTTATATGAAATGTATAATGACTTTCAACACGTTATTATTTTAAATAACTTGCAAATAATAATTACAGCTTATTACAACTGAAATAATTATTTGCAAGTTATATAACTGTAATAGTAGTATGGTAAAGCATTTAACTATTATCACACTGAATGCATAATGAGGTTTTAGATAGGGTTTGATGAATAAAGATGATCATGATAGATTTTTGTTTAATGTCCAGTGTAAAATATTACATGTATATCAGGAGAATTTAGAAGAATAATTTAATGGCTTAAATATTGAAAAGGAATGAGACACAAGTTAATAAAACTTATCAAGTCTTCTCCCAGGAAAGAACATGTTTATGCAATATAAATATGTCTGGAACCCAACTTTGTACTAGACCGGCGTGCAGATTCTGATTTTTAACTTCAGATTCATAAGGCAAAGGTCAACACGATACTACGAACCACCGAGACTGTCATTAAAACAAAAGTAATAATGCCTGTGTCCGTACGCCCTTCCTAATATCCTGTGTGGATTTAAATTAAACTCTACTGCCTATTTAGTTTTGATCCACTTATAATTAGCTCAGAACGTGTGGGCATCATACATTCACTACAACTAAAAGGTCAGATAATCTTTATTACATTATGTCATTATGTATCCACTGTTTGAATTTCTTTAAAAAAAAAATGATTTTGTGGGATTTCCCATGGTAAGATATCGTCGGCTCTAAATCTACAACCTTTCCGTTTTCTATTTTTTTTTTTATATTTACATTTGGAGGGGGGCTTTCCATGGCAAAACACATACCCATTGATAGGCCGTGAGTTGAAGGATACGGGAGCAACACACTAATGTATGTTTATAATAATTTTTAACTCAAACGTTTTCCTCCTTCAACGATACGACAGAATCCCATATAGAACCGCCTGGTGCTATTCTCATCAGAAAACTGGAAAATCTGCATACCAATTTGCATACGGAATGAGCAATCAGCAAATGGATCTATAATTACTTAACAGAGGAGAAAATAACATCAAATAATTAATTTTCACCAAATATAAAACTTGTTAAACTTAACGCCAAATTGATTTTTATTTCGACCGAGATAATAACCAGGCATTTAGAAGGCCAATATTTTCTCGGAAAACACGAAAAACCAATTAGAGTTTCTTATCAAGGAATTGCAGAAAGTCACAAAACAAATAAAGCCTTTTACCAGCTAGTATGACTCTGTGTCGAGAGAAGTTTAATTTGTAAATTAGATTTTTGTCAATTGGAGGATATTGAAAAAACGATTGAAAAGTGCAATAATGAACAGTTTGAAAAATAACACTTGAAGTTGCAAGATTTATTATGCAGTTGAAAAACGAAATTATATTATGCAAACATAAATCTGATAACAGCATTTTGGATTCAATTTTATATAGACCGTAGTTTTATGAAGGATTGGTGGGTTTGTGTTCATTACTAATCAGAAAAAATCATGACACCCTTTTAAAACAACAATCTCACGAGTTTAAGTTAATTAGTAAAGGTATTAAAAACGTTTTTTAATAGCTAGCTTATATACCGTGTTTCGTAGCTAGAACATAAATAAGCACAACGTTGATCCATATGTTTGGCTGCTTATACACGTCATATATTTTATTAGATGTTTGATCAATTATCTAATTATTTATATGCAAGTCATAAACATCATGTCAATACGGTTAAGACCAGTATTAATTACGGCCGTGGATCAAACAAAGTGTTGATACTGTCGGAGTAAGACAAATATCTTATGTAATATCACACAATTTGTAAACAATCTGTTCTTGCCATTCTGGTCTATACCAGTACCATACATACTGTATCCATCACGACGATATGATGAATGAAAGAGAGGCGGAAGATACCAAAGGGATAGTCAAACGTATCAGTCGAAAACAAGCTGACAATGCCATGGCAAAATAGATTGGAAAAACGACCAATAGACAAACAGTCTACAAAACACAATATAGATAACTTAAGACTGATTAAAATTTGAAATTAAGTTAAATAGGGGATCAAATAAAAAAAAGTACATTTTGTAAATTACTCCTATAGAAAACTTCCAGTTTTGCCCTACATCTAAATCAAATTGTTAACAACAAAAATGCGTGTGAACCTTGATTTTGAAGATGATCACTTATCTTTTGTAAACACAAAGGTAAAAAGAAGTATGAGGATGCACTTGAACAATAAGCATATTTTATGCTTGAATGTAAAATCGTTTACCAATTATTTTGTTATTCATATCAATCAAAAGCCCATTACCAAATGTGTTGTCAATTAAGGCACATGAAAAATGACAACGAAGATGAGTGCTTATGTTTTCTATAGAACTTTGAAGTATAGTACCTAAAATAATACACCAAATGTGGCTCCATTAAATATAATTTTAATGGCGTACAAGTATTTTTGGATCATGATATGTTGAGTGATTATTGGTTGCTTAACGTCCAGTGGCAAATATTGCACGCATGTTCAGGACGAGGGATCTCGATATTTGAGAGTAAATTACAAAGTAGAAAGTTTGATAAGAGACATTATTTGGCTTCTCAAATTAAAAAATATTATAGTTAAATTCGTCATTACGTTTAAATAATTGATAAATGAACAGGAAAAAGTCTGGTCACTTAAATTGTAGGAATGTCATTTGTGATGACAATGTGACGTCATAAACAGGTGAAATTGAATTATTAGATTTGACCTGGGACTATTAGATAAACAATGTATTAGTCCCAGGTTTGTTACAGGTCATAAAACAAACTATACTTAATTAAGTTGGTTTTTTTTTGTATCATATCGACGCCTGAACACATGTTACCAGTATTTAAGTATTAGGTTTGATAGCGCAGGTGGAAGCAGGGTTCAAAGTGATTTTTTTCATTCTACACGGCATGAATTTCTTATGTATGTATAGCCTTGCAGTACAACAGATATTCGAAAATTAAATCAAGCACTTTCTTGAACTTAATAGGTTTAACAATAATAAAAGACAAACGACACATGCCTTTCTGCAAAAGACGTATTCATGCATTCTCGAAATCAAGGTTTAAAAAACCTTATTATATCTGAAAAACTTCAGAACAGAGAAAGACGGTTATCTAATTTTTATGTTCAGAGTTTGCGTGATGGAGATTTTAATATAGTAATATTGCATGTTTCAAAGGCGTTTTTATATGAGCTTGTAGATTTTAATCATGGATAACGTTATAAAGAGAATTACATCAAACCCTTTGTATGCAAGAATCATCTGTCCATGAAACTATAACTACGTTAACTTCAAATCTATAAAACGGGGAAATCATATGTTTTGTTTTACCGTTCCGAAAAGTCCTCTTCAAAGAAAAAACATTGATTGTTTCCCTAACGCTATTGTATTCAGGAGGGACATATTTTTTCATAACGTGCAAAGATACTCTAGTATTTTCCTCCAAAACTTGGACCTCTTGTGTCAAATTTCGCTTATGTCGTTTAAATTGAATATTGTCCGAAATACAAGAAAAATGAATAATAAATGGCTGTTGAAAGACAAAAGTAAAATAGGGCGTAAGGCGAACTTATGGTAGATTAAACTGGGTTAAATGTAATTTACAAACAATGCTAGAACTGTTGCACGGGATATAACCTGAGAACTGCTAATGATGAATACGAATCCATCATATAATATATCCTCGTCTTCCTAATTGTCAGAACAAAATGGTAAGTGAGAGAGAATTCTCATTGTGTTGCCGTTGTCAGTCATAAACCTGAATTACTAAAGAGAAGCTAAGAGAAAACAGATTGCCTTTTTATCATTTTGAGGCATGGCCAAATTTCCCCTATTTGTTTCACTCACAGGAACACAATAGGAAAGTTGATGAAATCTAATGGAATAACTTGAACCTTATTCGACAAACTTTTTAACAATCTACTAGTAATATTTACATGATTTACCCATAAAATTAAAATGTTTCAAATGCAAAACATTTGTGTTTTGCAATTTTATATCAAATTGTACATTTTTTTTTAATTGTAGAGGAATACCCATAATAAAAATTAATCATTTTGTATCTAACGGATGATACATATATACCTTTACTTTCGGAATAATTTTCCCCGGATTTTTTTTATCTTTTTTAAGGAAAATTCAAAACCTGCAATCATATACCGAAATTTCATTTTTGTTCCATTTAAAGGCATTTATAGATGTAAGAACCTCAAAGTACATGCATGGAGATATGATACTATGTTTTAGAAAATTGGTCCTTTCTCTTTGTCAAAGGAAAATCAACATGCACGTTTGCAGAACCGATGAACTCTATGCC